GCGATGGGACACACAGCTGAGAGATTTCAGACTGAACGGCGCCCGGGCACTCGGGTATCTGCTTCCCAGCAGCGCTAATCCCACCCGCTTCCCAACGCGTCCCACAATCTCTCCTCTTCCCGTGAGGTCCTGGGAGAGCTGCTGGGATGGAGAAGATCTGAAATCCCCATCGCTCTCTGAACTCTGCTCCAACCCACGCGGAGAGCAGCCTGTTCCCCGGACGGCTCCTGCACAGCCCGACGGGGCCAGAGGGGCTCCGGCACGCTCCAGCCCCCGACGGCGACTCCGACGGCAAAGCACGAGCTTTCCGTGTCTCAGCAGAAACCAGAAGCAGCTCATTAGGAACAAGTGTGTTCCCTCAGAGCAGGTACCTCCCCTGGAGCGGGGCTGCCACAGCCACCGTCAGAGCAGCCCACCACCACCAGCCCATGCCACGTCTCCTTGTCTTTTCCACGGAAGGCATGAACAGGGCCAGGGCAAACTAATGGCACAGCAGGGGGAGGGAAAATAAACCCAAAAAAGCCAAAGATGTTGCTCTGGTCCCAGCTATCACACACCGGCGCTCCTCTCCCCATCCTGGCTCCCCGTTGCCTCGGCAATGCCACACCAACCGCTCTCTGCCTGATGAGCCATCGGTGCTGTCCCCGGCCACCGCGCCAGCCTCTCCGGCTCGCTTCCACCGCACAGGCTAACAGGAAACCTCCACGTCAACTGCCATTGCCAAAAACCACCCAGATCCCTGGATTTCACTACTATGCAAATTACTATTTATGAATCTTGCTGGTTGACCAGTTACTCCCCATTATGACCGTGCATTTAAATATATTCCCCACTGACAGAGAAGGAGGCTCTACCCGTCCCAACACCCACTCTCTCCTTTGCTGCAACTCTCCACCAACATCTCTTGCTCTCCTCATCCTCGCTGCTGCAGCCTCCCGCTCTAAGTGTTGCTTCGAGGATCCTGTGACACGGCAAATAGTTTTCTGCCCCCAGCCTCTCTTGCTGCATTTCATCGCTCCAAGATGTATTTCCCTCCTCCTTTGATCACTCCTTAATGTAATCTTTCCAGGGATGCTCTCTGCAGGACAAAGACTTCAATTATGCATTTTGGATACGAATAATCAGCCTCAAGGTAAACCCCATCTGAATACCTTCCCTTTTCCTATCCCAAAACTGAACTAAAACTAAACTAAAAATTTCCAGGACATCAAGATTAATGACTAGTTGTACGGAAAAGGCAGCAAGGCTCAGCTTCCACCCCAGCCGATGTCTTTGTTGTCGAACCAAAAACTGCCTCTTGCCAGCTAGAAATCGCGGCCCAGAAATAACCGTCCCTTCTGGGGACAGGACTGTCTGGGCAGGGGACAGTCCGCCAGAGAACAAAGGCACAGGTTCCACTGTGGGGGACAGCACGGGGACACTTGGTCTGCAGGCAGCTGGGAAGCGGCTTCTGCAACGGCACCAGAAGGAACGGAGAGGTTTTCCTCAAGGTTATGGGAAGAAGTACATCGTACGATGCTGCGGTGTCAGCGAGGCGGATGGACCGATCAGAACAATCCCTCCAGCCCCGTGTTCCGAACATCGCACGAGGGGAAGAGAGCCCCGAATGTCCGCGAGCCAACCCAGGGAATGCGGAGTGTGGAACTCGGAATTAAACTGCGGCTGAAAATTTCCACTTTTACCATTACCGACTAGACTCCTGCTTTGGTTTGATTCTACCCCTGTGCCCAAAGCACCCTTCTCACCGCTCTGCCTGTCTCCACGACTTGGCAGAGTCCCTGCTGCAGAGCCTAACCCCCATCACTGCTCCCACAACGGAGAACAGAGCAAAGCGTCCCTTCAGCCGAGACAAGCCTGCCGCCCAGCCGGACTCCTCTCGGAGCTACCCCCCTCCTGCCAGCAGGACAGCAATTCTTTTACTGCGCACTAAAACTTCAAAGCAAGGGGTTAAGGTGAGCCCGGGCTGGCTGCAGCGCGGGGGCTGGAGCCGGTGGCATGTTGAAAACTCTTTCCTTGGGGAGCAGGAGGGAGCAGGCTGGAAGCCGGTGATTCTCTAGCAGCAATGAAGAAAGCCTGGCTGTGAGCAGGCAACTGCCGAAGGTAATGGGATTCTGTGTGAGTTATGAATTTTAAACACTTCTATAAGCTCTGCCGTTTCCAGAAAAAAAAAGAATAGGAATGAGGGAGCTCTGGAGAACTGCTCTTTTTGTTTTCCTGGGTCTCCCTCGCTCATCTCCAGCTCATCTCTGGATTCTTTCCCAACGGTGCTGTAGAGCTCTCGTGAGACACGCACAAGCCATCAAGCAGCCACCAGCCTGCACCAGCGGAAAGGAGGAAAACTCAAGTTCCAGCTTGCAATGGAGAGAAAGTTCCTAACACTCCTGTCATGCTTTAGCAGATCCAATTCCATTACCTACGACCAAAAGCAAATGAATTTCTCAGGTTTCTAACAAAGACATGGTTTTAAACTGCCACTGGGGCTCATAAACGACAATCCCAGAGTGTTTCAGCTCGGGAGAGCCAAATCACCATCACTCCTTCCAGAAAATACAGAGCAGAGCAAAAAGCTTCTTCAGAAGACCCGTCCATGGCCCAGGTGGGCTCCTCTCCGAGTTCCATCGCGCTCTGTTCACTGGGTTTTGCAGGCTAGAAAAATACGGGCACGTTTGCCGATCTCAAAGAGAACGCAGAGAGATCCCCCGGCATTTCTCCGCGGGGCTCCCCGCAGGAGGCCATTCCAAAGCCAGGTCCTTCTGCATGTCGGCTGTGCCACCATCCCCAAAGGGTTCAGGCTCTTCGAACCCCGGCCGGTTTCAAGCTCTGCTACTGCAGCAGTCAGACACGACCGAGGAAGCTACTTGAAAAGCAACCACATTGAACTAGCTTAGCACAAACGTTCCAGGTTTGTTCTAGAAAAGAAATGCAAATAATCCATTACCTGCAAACCAGCCGCGCACTGCACAAACACAGTTAGGATTTCCTTTCCTTCTGTGCCACTGCACTTCACTCTGCAGAGCTCTGCACGTTACCCAGAGAGGCAGACGCTGGGAAAGGGACTGCGGAGCGGTGGTGAAGGTTCAGTGCTGGCACTGGTGCTACAGCTGCTGCCCCGGGAGGAAATCATGCAGAGGGAACTGGAGGCAGCAGTGTCAAGTGGAACTTTCTGCACAAAAGCAGATTTCTGTGCAATACTCAGTCCTTTTGCTTTTAAGACGCAGCCTGGGAGTTGTGCTTTTTTGTGCCTTATTTTAACAATGCACACGTAACCTGCACAGGAGGAGAGCTGGGTAAGGTTCCCTGGGTGAGCGACACGACAAAGCGGCGGTGCCGCACGGAAAGGGAAGCCACGTGAAAAACCACCCGGGGAAGCAGCCAGAGCCAGGGTGCCCGGCTGCGCTGCCCGGGGGATGGGGAGTCCTCGCTCTCAGTCTCCAGCCAGTGAAACTCTTTTCCAGTCCCTCCACCAGCGCAGGAGGGACTCTGCTCTGCCCACAGCCTAACCAAACACTAGAGCAGCATTTCCAGCATTACGAGAAATCCTGCTGGGTTAAGATCAAGCAGGAGCCAAGATCCAAACCTTCCACAAAAGCTAGCGTGAGTGCGTGAAGAAAAGCGATGTCAAAGGCAGGGGAGGAGAGTCCTTACTCACCTATTAGTGAATTCAGAGAAGAGTAAGAGCTGACTCGTCTCATCTTGTCGATAGTCTCAAACGAGAGGATATACTCTTCGTTCTCAGGGCTGCCCAAGGTGCTGCTGGCGCTGCTGCTGGTGCTGAGGTTCCCAGGAGAAAAAGCAACAGAGGTTCCAGCTGCCAAAAGGAAAAGAGGCAGATGCTGAAACAAGAACTGGTGAGAGAACAATTTTTACCCAGGCATAACAGCCCTGTTCTAAATCCCACAACACTCGGGGAAGGTGTAGGCAAATCCACAACATCCCTTTTTAAACACTGAATATTTAAATACAGAGTAAGCATCAAGGGGTCAGAAATGATTCAGTTAAAAATAATCCATGTATGTTAGGAAATGGGAAAGCACCTTTTTAGTCCCCAAACACTCAGAAAAGTCAATACTAACCACCAGAAAATTGGAACTAATTATGAAGGGGCTTCTCATCTAAGCCCTTGGAGCTGGCAGCTGGATAATCTGGGCTAAAACGTCAGCTTCAGCTCGTTTTGTCTTGCACGTGGTATTTCCTAGCTTCCAGGGGAAGCGAGGAAGGAAGAGGCAAAGAAAAATGAAAGACTTTTGAAATCTGTCTTACCTTCTTCATTCAGGCTGAGGTTCTGCAGGGACTTGTTCAGGTTCCTGGCTGTGGTCACCGCTCGGATGTTCCCGTAAGAGCTGACGGACCGCAGCCTCGGCGTACACGGACCATCTCGCACCGGTGTCAAACTCCCGCCCTCTGCGGATGCAGAATTTATCAATTATAGACGTAACCAAAGCAATCCTAACCTTTCGGTTATTTCCCAGCAAACACATAGTAACTAAAATACTCCCAACGTGAACAGAGTTTATCTGCCTCCCCTTAGGCTAAACAGAACGGGGTATAACGAAGGATCCCCGTGGACCCTGTGCCTGCTGTGCTGTGATTTTGTTCCACCCAACAGCCCCAGGTGAGCCGAGCCCTGCCAGCCCTGCAGACTGCCCAGAGAGGCACAATGGCTCTTCTCTCCAGGTCGGTGCTGGGCCACTGCCCAGGCGCTGTGCTAGGACACCGCTCAGTAGGCAGCATTTACAGGCTTCCATCTGCTTCTGCTCATTACAAATCCAGTAAATTTTCTCATTATAAACAGTCATGAAAATTCTGGTTTCCTGACCAAATTTCAAGCCTGGTTTCAACTTGTATTTCACCCATGACTTTGATAGCTATAATTTCCCAAACGGTCTCATTTTCACTCCTGAACACACACACACAGCACCATGGCTTCAGAGCAGCTATTCCATGTCACCGCAGAGGTGGCTGCCCTGTGGCGGTGGGGCCGATGCTGCCAGTGCATCCTACTCACAAATACCTCAGGATTCCTTTGGATAAGGAAAAGCACTATACAAACTGCTGGCAATGTTTATTTCCTGCAGCAAAAAGGACAAATGCGGAGAAGCTTATTTTCCAGCATGATTTATTCAGGCACCAGGGAGATTAAACTGCCCATTGCAGAGCCAGCACGTGCTCTTGTCTCTGTTGCAGCAGTCCCATTATCCTTCAAGATTTCCAATGTACTTAATAACTACAGAAAATGTAAGGTTAGCAACAACTTCACGATGGCTTTTCATTCCTCCCATAAAGCAACAGACCCAACGAAAGGGAAGGGACCACAGGCACAGAGCACCGAGTTCTTCACCGCCTCTCGCCTGGTGCTTTACAGCAGCGCAGAGCACGGGTGGCTCCTCGTTCCGCCGTGAGGATTCTCATCAGGTCAGCGCGACACTGAAGCTTCAGGTGTAATTGGATGCGGGAAAAAAAATCTGTCCAGCTTGTGTACTGCCTTGACAAATATACTTCAGTCTTGATCTGAAGGGGATCCCTTTGGATTTGACAGGGTGCTGGTGAGCTATCGCTGTGTTGTAGGTGGAGGCTCGGCAGAGGATGCATTTCTCCAGCACAAGGTATTACAGTGCTAAACAGGCATCAGAGCTACCCACTGTGTCCCTCACCTTTGTAGCAACTGTGCTGCTTGATAAATCACCACCTGCAGAAATCTCACCATGTTGGGCAAACGCCTCACGTCAAAGTTCCCGAGCGTGTTCAGGCTTCTGCCCACACAAACACGAAACACCTACCTGTGGCCGCTGGAGAAGGGAGAGGGTAATTCTTCTCTTCTTCCATGAACTGCAAGGCGACGGTGCAGAAGTTGCTCTCGTACTGAACCACCAGGTGACTTAGAGCCACCACCAGCTCCTAGGGAAAAGGCAGAAGAGACAGGTTTCATCGGCAGGCAGCTCAGAAACACAAACAACGTGGCCGTTATTGCTGACATTTGGGGTGGCCATCCAGACTGATACATTTCCCCTTCGCTTCACAGGGATGAAGAAAGCCAGAGCAGAGTGTTTCAAACCTAATCCTTCACAAGCCTTTTAAACCTGAGCAGGGTCCCACTCTCTGGTTCTGCCCAATATTGCCAAACTGATGCAGCATCACGAAGCACCGAACCAGGCGCCCAGCTCCCTCTGCCCCGTGCAGGCAGCAGTCCCGCGCACGGGGAGCGTGTTTCCTGCCGGGCAGCAAGGAGCCGTGCCGAGGATCGCTGCCCTCAGCCCCCCGGGGCACAGCCGGACCCTCTCCTGTGCTCTCGCCCTGCAGCCTGTCCTGCGTCTGCTCCGAGCTGAAGGAAAGAGAATCGGACACGAGGCCCCTGGGGACATGGCTCAGCTCTGCCACGACGAGCCTGGTGTCTGAACCCTCTGCTGAGCCCCAGAGCCCCGTCCTGACCCGCAGCTCACGCAGGATGGGTGCTGCCCGTCGGCGGGATCACCGTGTCCGTACTCACAGCCGCAGGCTCAGAACCCCAGTTACCGGGGTGGGGGGGCAGAGAAGGTGAGGTTCAGACCCCGGTGGGGTACCGCTGCGAGGCATCTGGAAACAGCACACGGGAGAGGGGAGAGCTGGCTCTGGCTGCTGGTCTCTGCTCGGGGGACTGATCTCCGAAAGAGAGATTTATGAACCTCAAAGAGCACACAGTGTGACGTGTGGTTCTCTCTTGAATTAAACTGATTAAATGCTGGGACCAGACAGCAACAAGGAATCCTCACAGCGCTGGTGACAACTGCCAGGGTGTTGGTGTTCCAGCCAAGCCGACCCAAGCATTCGGACACCCAAGCACACCCACCAAGAACAACCCAGAGCATCAAGAACTATCTAATGTACCATTGATGTACAGCGGTGCGTCAGACACTGTAATTCTCCAAAGCCTGAAGAATTAGTTTGAAACAGTCTGTCACCTGGCCTTCTGGGTTCCAAAAGCAGCGAGATCTTTCCACCGAAGGGAGCTCTGATATCTCCCCACACACTCTTCCTCCCTCTCCTCTTCCTCCCCTCGGACTGCTACACACTCCGTGTTTCCAGCAACACATCGCTACTTCATCTAAAACCTGAGATCTTGTCACAGAAAATTTTGCAGGGAAAACAGTCATCAACAGAGGAGCGTTAGTAGAAGAGCAGCCCAGCAAGAATTCTCAGGGTTTGGGGCACCTGAAGAAGACGTCAGTGTGACGGCTCTCCTCCTTATCCCTGTCTTTGCATTCTCTTTTAAAACTAAAAAAACCCAGGATATAAAAATTCCCACAAAATCCTGAGATTGTTACTCCTATTTCGGACATTTTCTTAGCGAACACACGAGCCAAATCAGAGGTCCAGTGCTAAACAGCAGAAACATTTTGATCCGAACAACAATCTTGTCAAGACCTGGACACAAGGACACGCCACCTTCCTTGGATCATCCCTGTCAGCAGGCTCCTAACGCTGCAGAGTAAATGAAATGCTGCGATACATGCACTGCAAAAGGGGAAGGGGATGACACAGCATCCCAGAGCACTGCTGCCTGTGAGCACCCTGAGCAGCCCCGTGCCGAGCCGTCGGCCACCGCCCGGGGCGACCCTGCCGCTTCCACCGGCATCGTCACGCCTGCGCGGTGCTTCTCTGCGGGAACCGAAGTTAAAAGACCTCACGATGAAATTTGGACTCATTTGGAATTATTTATTGAATTATTATTGATTATTGATTATTGAATTATTTATTTATTCCAAATGAGTCCAAATTTCATCGTGAGGTCTTTTAATAATAAATAATTCCAAACGAGTCCAACTCATTGAAAGTCTGTGAAATAAGGGACGCTCGGAGGAGGCACAGCGCAGAGCTCGCCAGCGCGGGTCCCTCCCTACCTTCCTGACCATGGGGCTGCCGTCGTTGATGAGCTGCGCCAGCATCATGGCCACGTTGTGATCGATGGTGGTGGAGTGGTCGGTCCGTTCAGCCGAGTTGCCCACGAATGTTCCCAGTGCAAAGACTGCAGCACAGCGAACCTGCCAGACACAAACATTCATTATTATTATTTTCCTCGTGTTTCCAGCCCGGGGTTTGCCAGTGGGATTTCTCATCCCCACGCATGGCACCTCTGGACAGCTGGACCGGGTAAATAGCGAGGGCTAAACAGAAGCCTATGGAGAGTAAATCCAAAACAAAACTCAGGGCTTTGCTGGCTGTATTCACACATGCAGGAATACATTTAATTTCCCAGAATACTCGGTGACCTCCCCACAGGTGGTTTTTCCAGCTGACGTTGCCTGGAATATAAATTAACAGGAATAAGGTACACGGGGAGCTGCTGCTGGGACCTGAATCTCTCCAGTAAGGTGCTGGACTGCAGCCTCAGATAAGGGCTCGCAGCAAGGCAGAGGATGGTGGAAAAAAAAAGCACAGGGGAAAAGGCAGCAGCTCAAATCAGGGTAAATTTTGCCAGCTCACACAAAGAGCAGAGGGATCAGACGGCTCAATAATCTTACAGCTTGCCCTGCGCTCGGGGGGGATAGGGCGCACTCAGCGACGGCAGGATGTGTCCCCAGCGCAGAGCGCTCGCTCCGGGCGCTCCGAGAGGGGTGGGCGGCTGCGAGGACAGAGGGAGGAGGGGGAGATGCAGGGCAGAAAGACTGAACGAAAAGGGGAATCTCATCTTTAATCACGGCACGTCAGCGCTGGTGTTTGTCTCCAGGCTCACTTCTCCCACGGGCGATGGGATTTCCGTGGGGTCTGGCAGGCTCTGTCAATCACAGCCAGGCTCTGCACCGCCACCGCTCCGCTCTCGGAGCGTTTGTCACAAAGGTAAAACACATTCGGTTGAAGATGTTTTTTCACACGTACCAGGAGGAGAACTGTTTTCGTCCTCGGCAGAAAGACTACAGGGCTTTTTGCAACACACTGTGTTGTGGGACCACATTTCCAACAAGCTTCTGACACACAAGAAAGCAGAGAACACGGTGTTTCCCAACGCCAGGGCCAAGACTCCAGGACTTTCGGGCTGTATGAACTCCCCCACATTTTGTTGGATAATTCTCTTCCAGGGCTTGGACGATTCGACACAATCCCAAAGCTCCTGAAGGACAGGCTTTTCTACGTGTTTCCGTAGCCCTCTGCCAAAACCTGACAATTCAACTGGCGTTTCCTTTAAAAGTTGGATTTTTACCTCCGGGATCGGATCCGAGAGGAGACTGTAGAGCTTTTCGTGAGCGCTGTCCCTCACACCGCACCACCTGGCCGAGTCAAAGTTCTGCCAAATCCGTCCCAGACAAATGGCCACCCACTGACGCAGGAGGGGATGGGGATCATTTAACTGCTCCAGGCAAATAGCAATCAGGTTTCCTTGAAGGCAAGCTTCCTAAAACACAAATCAATGCCATTTATTTCGGATGACAGCTTCCCACCTCGTCATCAAAAAAGAAGATTATTTCTGAAACAGACAGGAAATCAAGAGAAAATAATTGTTTGGTGATGACGTACTGATCTTGTTACAAAATACCGTTCGGAAGCAGCGTGAAGGGAAGGTCAGCTACACGCTGTTCTAGCTAGTTAAATAGCTCAGCATCAGAAATGCTTCCTGTAATGCATAAAGCCTGTTTTCTCCTCATCAGAAATATTCCTCGCACCTGTCAGAGCCCCAAGGTTTATGGCTCATTCCCTGTACCCTTCCCAAGACCTTTATCACAGCCACCCAGCCTCCCCTTGACAGCAGCCAGGCGCCGCTTCTCTAATCGCCAGCAGAGCGCTGCCCGAGGGGCGGCTGGCCACTGACTCACGTCCTTAACCTCCGTGTCCAGGTGCCAGGTCCATCTTGTGTTTGTCACACCTCCAGCTCCATTTCTCTGTTAATCCACCCGACAACAACGCAAAGCAATCTTTGTTTCAGCTCCTAGCCCAGGGCTGTGCTTTAAGCCAGGACGCTGTGACCAAAGCGAGGGCACGGTGCAGAGAAGAGCAGGAGGGAGCGGAAGGAAGAAGGATGCTGGGACTCACCTGTCCGGTGTTGTAGTTGTTGACAATCACAGCCAGGATAAAAGCCGTCATGGTCCTGTGTTCAGCCTGAAAACAACAAACAACTAATTGTTATCCAGCAACCGGGCCAGAGAACAGCCCTATCCCACGCTTTCGGAAACACGAGAGTATTCCCAGTGCGGCTTGTATCACATGAAAGAACAAGAGAGGGGCAGGAAAGCTGGAATCTCCTTGTCACGCAGCCCTGTCACTACCTACATCAGCCTGCCGATCCGATCCCATCCCATCCTCCCAACCTGCCTCCGTGCCCTGCTCCGGGGGCGGCACACAAGCACGGGAAACCACGGAAAACTTCTGCCGAGGGAATCGGGAATGCTGCAGTGCCATCAGGCTGCCTCTGCCCCCAGCCCCCAGGAGCCCCCGGCTCCCATCGTCACCACTGAGTAATCTGGGCTTATGCAGCCTCAAACAAGTTTGCAAATTCCTGTTGGTTTGCCTGGATCACGCAGCCGGGCAGGAGCAGCGTTGCCTCCCCTGCTCACCGACCCCCACGATGCAGCGACCGCATCAGAACAGCGCCAGAGAAGCCTGAAGCCAAGCAAACGCTAGAAGAGTCTGAGTAAAGATGACTGGTCCTTACTGGCATATAAGGATCTGCCAAAACGGAAAGGAAATACTTGTGCCCGTTGTCCTTCACAAGGTCAGCTTGGCAGGACTGGAAAACGAGACAAAGAAAAACACAATGAGCATCAGAACATGGAAATATTATTTCCTCCCATGATGCACAAATATTTCACCTCTTAGTAATTTTTTCCAATCTTGTTTTCATTTGGGAAGCAAGAGAAAGCGCAAGCCCTCCATGGGGGCTGCAAGCAAGCACCCTGCCGGCAGGGCAGAGCGGGTCTGACGCCGGGAACCC